TACCAATATTTATATAAAGACAATTTTGGAGTTGGTTGATTATTAAGAATACAATTTCAAGAACTGTAGGCTTCATTTTTAGCTTCAATTAATTCACCACAAATCAATCTAATGATGAAAATAAACAAACAACAAATAATTTTAAAAGAAATAGAAGAAACTTTAGAAACAAATGCAACACAATGGTAACAAGATTGAAAAATAAACTAGATTTTATCTGTTTTGTTTTTTTATCGGTGGTCAATATATGCAAACACGTTCAATATTAGATACAAGTTCAAATAATTTATTTACAAATATTGAACGGTTGGGCACACGTGATTTATTATCCTATGGACAACTTTCATATGATACTATATTAACATCAGTCCAAAGTAATAATACATTACCATTATCAGTTAATGTAAGTCTCACATATGTTTTAATAATCGACAAATAGAACTCTAAGTTAAAAGAAAGATAAATTCATTGCTAAATTATTAATTTTATCAAACAGAAAATCGAGTGTTTCTCTGACTTTGATTTGATATATAATACATGCAAACTATCTTATTTCATAGAGATAAAAGCTTATATCAATAATTTCAAATATATTCTATCAATCAAAAAATTAGATTATGAACATTTTCTTTTCTGGCATCCATCTTTAAAAATATATAATTTCGAGTTTATTTGATTGCTTATATTTTTTCATCATGGTTTTGATTTAACATTATCATTACAAATTCTAATTGAAATATATGTAATATAAATTAATAGGTTCAATTATATATCTATCTGATTTATTTGTACATGGTTTGATGAAGATGATTTAATAATATCCTTAACAAGTTATAATTTATGTAAATCTAGTATATTACTTGAACAAAGAACAAAAGAATATAATGAATTATATATACATTTAATTGAACGTAATTATAAATTAATAACTAAAACTCATGCATATGCATCATGTTTATTCATGAAGTTGATTTAAATTCATATGATATTTGATTATCATTAATTAAAGATGATAATTTAACACAAAAAGTTATATCAATTAGTCTTGAAAAACTTTTAATAGTTGGTCAATATCCCAAAAATGATATATCGTGTTAATACTTTCATGTATTTATACATTATTACAACGACCAAATAAAAATACAAAATCCATTAAATAATGAACATGTTAATAAAGAACAAACAATAATTGATAGTTCATCAATAATATCATCATCAGATAATATTCTTATTGAACTTGTTGAAGAATTATATGAACGTACTAAACAATCATCAACATTAGCATATGAAGCTTTACTTTTATTACGTCCTTTATCATTATTATTTGCACACATTAGTTTTTTTTTTCGTGCTTTAATTAATGCACGTTATTCAGCTAAAGTTAAGGAATGGACTTTATTATCAATGACAAATATTGCACAAAGAAAATCAATACGTATGGCTATATGGGGGTTAACTTGTCTTATGTTAAGTGCATGTCTATCACAGGGTGTGGGTGTGGGGTGAAGACAAGACCTATAATGATACCCACACCCACACCCTCTTATGAGTAAAATTCTGCCTATGGTGAAATATTCTTCCTATTTTTCTTTTTAAAAATTATCAAGACTTACACATACAATTAAAATTTATTTGGAAAAGATAAATAGTAAAACATTAATGAAAAACAAAAACTCTTTATTTCAATCCGAAGGAATGACGATCAATACAAAATCATATAAATTTCGTCATGAAATGTCAAAATGAATTTTCATTGATAATATTGTATATCTTTTACTTTTTTAAGTTTTTATTGATGTTATCACGTTTCAGTGTTCGTTTCGAAGAATCAGACAATCGTTTATTTCTTATTGCTGATCGAAAATAGTATCTGCAGGTATATTAAAAGAAAACTTGCAAATATCAATTGTATCAACAAAAAACAAAAAATCTATTTTATTTATTTTAGTTAACGAATATTGAACATTAACGTCCGTATGAACAAGCATTCACACATGAATCGAATCTAGAAAAATTATATGCTGATTTACTTGAACACATTCAAAATACGGTGTGGATGTAGATGTTGTTTGGATATGTTGATGAATCATATACTCTCTCTCCCTCTGTCATCCATACCCACACCCTCAATAAAGACTAAAAATATCAATTCATAAAATGGAAACATAACAACAAGAATTAATTTATTCACTTTTTTTTCTTTTTACTAGAATCGGTCTCTATTATAACAATCATATCTAAATTTTCTAAATCAATCAGAATAGATTGTCATTTATTTTGTGCTCTAATTTCTGTTTGACTTATTGATTTATATTTCATATTGTATGTTTTATTATGATTTTAATTATTGATTTAACTAGTAAATAAGTCGATTACATGTATCCATTAAACATATTTTAACCATTGAAGTTTTAACGAAAACTTTTTCTAAGCCATGTCGTTACAGTTTAAGAAAAAGTTGCACAAATCTGGATTAAAACTTGCATTTATAACCAGTACTTTTAATAATATCAAGAAGAATGTGAGTATAGATGTTGATATTCTGTTTAACCATATCTACAATCTTTGAATCGTTTTGATTTAAACCCCCCTCATAATAAAAGACTCCC